AAGACGTGCATTGTCCGAGATTGTATGTGAATGATCATTTCTGCAAAAAAATAAATTTCAGACGAAAGTTTACGGAGACATCATGTATCCAGCTTGGTCCTTCTGGAGCGGTGGACCAGCGATATCGCTGTATCCTACAGGCATCGGAAGGTGAGTTTTCTCCAGAGTTTTCATACTTTTTTCGAACTTGAAAATGTTGATGCTTTAGATGGGATCAGATTCGGGTCGAGCTGCAAAAGGCGGCGAAAAGGCATCCGTGGGGACAGAAAATATCGCAAGGCTTTTTTCGTGGGTCCAGAACCAGTGCTGAAAGAGACAGTCTAGTTCTTCTTTCACGGAAGGAACCGGATCTTGTAGAAGCCATGTACACGAAAAATCAAGCGTGGAAATCGCCAAAGGTATGATTTTCGTCGAATTTCAAAATAATGTCAATCAAATGTTACAAAATTGATCGGTAGGACACGTTGGACGCAGAACCGGCTCCCGAAGTTTCGTTTGAGAAGCATTGCGAGTACAAGTATTTGTTCAACTTCCGTGGCGTTGCGGCGAGCTTTCGGTTACGACATTTGTTTCTGTGTGGAAGTCTGGTGATACACGTCGGGAGCGATTGGCAGGAGTTTTTCTACAGTGCATTAAAACCTTGGATACATTATGTACCTTTGCCTGATAATCCGTCCGAAGAGAAAATCAGGTTCGTGGCTAATTTTGATTTATGAATCATTGAATCACAGTCCAGCGATTACGTTTCAGGGAAGTTTTGGAGTTTCTCAAGCGGAATGATGATCTCGCGAAGGAAATCGCGTCAAATGGATACGATTTCATTGCAAAACATTTGAAATTTTCTGACGTTTCTTGTTATTGGAAAGAGCTGTTGACACGATATGGAAAATTGCTGACCTTTGACCCAAAGGTTGAGCCACATTTTACAAGAATTCGATGAGCGACCAACGAAAAATTTGTGATATAAGACGGATCCGGAATTGTTACGATGTTTTCGGTATTTATTGGACTGACCGTGTTTTTACCGCAGAATTCTCAATGAAGTGAACTTTCGTCATCTCATGTTTTACTTGAGTTTTTCTTATTTTAAATTGCGTCTGACTAACGTTGATTGCAAGTTTTGATGTTCGAACGCGAGGTGTGAAAATGCGAGGAATAGTGCGAGTATCTGGTCGAGACCGATTGTTACTCCAGCGCATTTTCAACCACGGTTACTTGTCATGTGCCGGAATTTCCAGTGCGTCGAAATATTTGAAGCATGGTTCGTACGTTTCATGGTCAACTTCGTTCATGAAATTCTCTCTATTATCGGAATTTTTTTCACTTCAGGCTTAGACGAGCCTTTTCCCCGTAAATATGATGCTCGTCAAGTGGAAGTCGGATGGAACGATTATTGGGATGCTCTGAGACGAGAATCGAATTCGAATAGAAGACAAGATGAGCGACCCACATTCAGTATGATTCTGCCTCCGCCGAATGTCACTGGGGCTTTGCATCTTGGTCATGCTTTGACTATTGCCATACAGGACGTTGTCATAAAATGGTACAAATACGGCGATGATATTAATGACATAATTGAGTTGTTTTTGTTTCTCCGAAAAGAGTTCCTTGTTACCCTATTTACTTTAATACTGTGCCACGTGACCAAATTTTTAATCCTGAAATTTTTATGAAATTCTATTCCCCGATTAAGATACACGCCCTATTTTTAGGAATAGAAATACTGTACTGAAATATTTGGAAACTTAAGAGGGACCATCCAGAATATAAATTTGGACATGAATTCAATCAATTTGAATTGTTTGATTTTAGAAATTTCCAATTACAGTATTGTATGTTCAAGTGTGACGAAAACCTAACATTTTTTATTGTATTTAATCCTTGTCTATTACACGCACCCCGTATTTCCTCCCAATTTTGATGAGAAAAAAATTGCGCGTGGTGAGTAAATAGTGTACCGTATTTAAAATTTGGGCTCGTTGCATAATTGTTTTCATCATTTTTTGGTGGATTACATGAAGAGAAACTTTTTGAATATCATATTTTATTGGAAAATTTTCGTAACCCTATTCGAATTGAAAATAAGTCTTCGGTTGAAAAAGGACCACACCCTTGTCTGTGAACAAGTTAATTGCTTGAAGAGGAAACTTTGAGAACTTGCCACCATATTTGCATAATTCCACCCTGAACTCAATCAGCCCATAATTGCTAATGTCGAACTGAAAACAAAAATCAGGGATCTTACGAGCTGAAATCAGGAAAACTCGTAGGAAATGACCAACGACTTGCTTCAAGCCTTGTGAATCTTGGTTTTCTTATTGTTTACTGCATTCTTTGCTCAACAAAAGCTGGTCAAATCTTTTTAAATGCGAATTATCGTTTTGGAAGCTTGCGCAACCTAACTAAAGTAATGAAGAGAAAAAAAACCTTATCAGCATCTGTTTGTCAAAGGAATACGATGAGGGGGCTGAAAACCTCATGGACGCCAGGTTTTGACCATGCGGGG